TTTTTAAATAATAGACCAAAAAAGATTACTTTACAAAAATAATAAATCTTACCTATTAAAATATTACAGGAATTGAAGATTGATTGACGAAATGTGGATCCAACAGTATAAGGGATGTCAATTATATCTGAAACCGGCACAGAAGTTATTGAAGAACTCCTAAATAATAGGGATTATTATATAATAAAATAAAAAAATTAGATTATAACGATTTATGTAATACAAAAATCAAATAAAAAGCAAAATCAGATTATTTACTTTGAAACGGTTCTTATTAAAGGTGTACGTTCGGGATGTGGATAATTGATTTTTAATGGTCTTCTCTCTCCACTTCTTAAGATTGAACCGTGATGACTTGGAACGTAACTCGTGCCAAACATATCCAATGACGAGTTGTCATCATCATCAACTATTGGTGACAAGTTAGGTGCGATGCTTTGTGATAGAATTGAACCGTATTGGTGATGCCTATTGTTGTTTGTGAAATTGCTTGGTCCGCCGTGTTCTGCTATACTACCAAGATTTGAAAAGAATGATGCGGGTGTATGATATATTGTGTTTGTGGGTGATTGTAATTGAGAGGTTAAATGGTTGTTGGGATTTATTGATGACATTGCCGGCGTTGAAAATAGTGATCCATGTTGGTTACGGGACGAAGTTGCACCGAATGTGCCATTTTCTGTCAAATTGTCTGCAACATAAGATGCCGGCACTGCTATATTATCAGACATATACGTACTACATTATAGCAAAAAAATTTGTTAATTCGGCACGATTGATCATATATTAATTAATTAATCAATCAATTATCCAATTAATAATCAATCAATCAGCTCAATGAGTACCTAGCTGTTCGACCATAATTTGCCGTCCATGATTGCAATGTTCCGGCGAATGATTGTGCTATATTTGATAATTGACCGGTTCCACTTTGCCTATTTATATGTGTTTCAGGTATATTTATTGGGTTAGTTGAAGCGTCTTCTTCTTCTCTAGACATTTTTTAAAAAAATAAATATATTTATTTTTGAATTTATTTAAAATTTTTATTTTTT